CTCAGTGATATTTTCAGTTTACCGGCTGACCCACTACTAGACAGCAATTTCTCTCAGCCACTCCTACCAACTAATACCGGAGGGGCCGGACCCCCAGGAGGTGGGCAGCCCCCTCAGGGGGCAGGGGCCGGGGGCAAAATTGATGCATTCTCTGATCTGGTCTCAATAGCTCGTGACAAAACAACATCAAAACCAGAACCGGCCCCTCCCACAATATTCCAAGCTCCTCCCACTAATACAGAAACTCCACCTCCTTTACCATACCGTCCACCTGATTTAGACTTCACTGATGCCCCACCCACTACTTCTGGCCCTGCCCCTTCTGGGTTTGACAATACTTTTGGTGCGTTGCCCCCTGCCCCCGGGACGGGGGGCGGTTTTGGAGGTGGTATGGATATGTTTGGTGATAGTTTTACTAGCGGAGGGGGTGGGGCTGCCCCTCCCCCTTCTGGAGCTGATTCCTGGATGTCTTTTAATTAAAAACATATCTCACTTATACACTAATACATGTACATGTAACATACATTTGTTTAACTATAATGCATTGTTGGCTGATTGAGATATTATTATTATTATTATTATTGTTGTTGTTGCTGCAGATTTTGTTGATAGGGTATACTTTTGCTATTAATTTTTTTATTTAAAATTATCTCACATCCGGTTTAGTTTATTAAGTGTTTATTAAACTATTTTTACAGCGTCATGATAGATGGGCGTTAGCCGCGTTACCTAGGCCTCCAAACAAATGGCAGCCAAAGCACCAGGTCAGTATTTTGTTTATACTTGATTATGACTCGTGTGTTGTTACTATTAGTGTATCATTCAGTTACTGTTACCTCTTGTTATCTATAGACTATCAACCAGTGGAGAGGAGTGGTCACTCCACTGTACGGGTAGGAGACTACCTGTACATGTGGGGTGGGGACCAGCCTGATCTCCCTAAAGTACATAATAATAAAAAGAAGAAATCAATGTGTTCTGTGATGGAGGTGTGTCACCTAAGGACTGGTAGGTGGGAGCAGAAACCCACCACTGGTAACCCTCCACTGGGTGTTAGGGGCTATGCAGCTGCTGCCATTGGAAGGGAAATATTTTATTTTGGAGGATGGTGTAATCATTCTGGCTGTTATCATAATAGTTTATACAGGTAGACATGATAGTTACTGATAAATATTATATAATATTTTA